CTACCAGTCTTTATTTCATGAGCATTTATCTACTTTTTTTCTGAATATTTTAATATTAAGGTTGTCCTTGGCCTCACTGCTCTTCAACTCATCAACTTCTTTGTAAATTTACCTTGATCATCTAAACAAAGTAATAGTTTATATTATCCTATGTTTTTTAATTCTCAACATTGCACTGGTCTTTAATCTTGTGCATTACGTTTAATATTATTCCTACTAGATTTCTGCATTTAAGTAAATGGAAAATTAATTTCTTTTTTCTATGAGGTTACATTCTTCAGTCACTATTCCCCCAAATTCATCAATCTAAAGATCTGTAATAATATTTCAAGTCATTAAATTAGGAAAACCCTGATTAGGTACAAGATTAGGTACAATAATGATTAGGTACAATTCATTATTATTAAAATTATTAAAAGCCCACTTAGGTTTATATGATGTACAGAAAAGATAATGCATTTTTAACTAAGAAATCAAGAATCAAATACATCCTGTTTTTTGGTATAGAAGAGTCAATGCTGAATAAAGAATATGTTTTCATATTAGAAATAAATAAAATTTAATATTATTCCAAAAACTACATCTTAGAATATTCTACTTTATACCGTTGCTTATCCTAAATAAGGATAAAAGGCTCTTTCCTTTCTAAAAAATAGTATATTGTCTACAACATACCAATTGAAGCATATTAATTAAACCCATATCCCACATTTCTGAATGACGTCTCACCTTCTCCAACTATTAAATAAAATATTTGACAATATAAATCTGAATCTTTCATCTTATTGAAATATTTAGCAGTATTTCAATAAATTAAAAGAAACTCATATACTTATTCTTGTGTGTGTATACCTATAATAAATTTTCAGAAAACAAAACCATCATTACTTCATTTTGGAAATAAAATCTGCTTAATATAGTCTGTGGTTCTGGAGAATAATTTGATTTTGCTTTTAAGCAACAATTTTTAACATACAAGGCATATTTCAAGGTGTACTTGGGTAGTAGGAATTAAAGGACAAGGAGAAAAACTGCAAATTCAGCTAAGTATTTGATTTGCATGTTTTCTTAGCTGAACTTTCTACAGGAGGTACTATTTGACTTTTGATAGTTCTATTGTTTGTTTTTTTATATCTGATAGTTAATGGGATCCTTAGAATGATGCACCACATTTTTATTCTTTTTAGAAACAAGGTAATCAGAACAAAGTGTTTCTGAGTGAAATAAAATATGAAGATGTTGAGATTAGATGTTATATAGCAGTACAGGTGTTGAAAAAGAAAAATTAAAGAGTGGCATTAGATAACACAATTTTTAAAGCATCAAATTTTTAATTCTTAATCTCACACTAACTCATTACAATAAAAACCTTAGCAAGTTTCAACTTTCAGTTTGATTGAAAAAAGTATCACTTCTCATGATTAGTTAGGAAAGAGCATGACACTAAAATACATATATTATAATCTTTTTATGGCTTTCTAAAATAATATTCAGGTACATTTAAAGACTGATTTAAGCACTGAATTCATACTAATCCTTTTTTCATAAAAAAGTGGAATAGATTCTGGGAGGTGATTATGGATGATTTTCCAAATTCTCTAAGAATAAATGTGGAAAAAAGGACTGGCTAAAAAATAGAAGCAGAAAAATGAGACACGTATTAATTTCCTTTTCTGTTTAGCCATCAGAATTTAATGACTGATATTAATAAAAACCACTGTGAACTTTAATAATCAGAAATTTAATATAGAGATATACATGATTATGCATGGTATATAATTAAAAACAAGCTGAGAAACCAGAGAATTACCATATCCCTAATTTTTATTCTACTTTTTATAGCAAAACTATTATAGTTACATGAATTAAATACATGGCAATTATTTTGGGAGAAGTAAATCACAAAGTAGAATTTATAGGAACTTTTTCCAGAGTCCCAGGAATGGGATGTCGGGGTTAAGCCATAAATGACGTAGTATAGTAATTTAGTTTCTCTTCTGCCATATTTATACCATACACCATTTTAGAGATTTTTTCTGAAAAGATAAATTCAGGAGAAGTACTAAGCATTCTAAAAGTCTGAACTATCTGTCACAAAAAATATTATTGTTAGTATAGCCTCTATGATGTGTGTATAGTATTACGAGGCTATACGGTGGTCTCCTTTAATAGCTGTCTTAGGTATTTAGTCTTTAGCTCAAGAATTTGTGATGTTACATGAAGGTGTTCCTGGTAAAGATGCTTACTGCTAATTTTATTATTTTTAAACAAAAAAAATGACATCATTATTCTAAAAGAGTCTGAGTTAAGAGAAGTCTATTAACTCAGAACAAATGTGTCTACTTGCCAGATTACCTATAATGATACTCTATTTTCCTTGAAAATGGAAATTGAATCATCAAGGTTCTACTCCTTGGATCCAGCTCATAATTTATAATCCTGCTGACACATCTAACAAGGGGCAGAAAACACAACCAATGGAAAAGCTCCAAGTGAACTCTCATGAAAAGATACTCAGGAAATTATACAATTGTATAAGAAATACTATATTGAAAAGAAAGATTTTATTTTGCATTGGAAATAAAATATTACTAAATTAACTGCAATGTTAGTCAGCATGACTAGAGGGTCCCCTACCCTGCCAAGTTAATCTTTATTTCATAAATGTGAGCATGAAGCCACAGCTAGAAAAGAAATAAAGAGGGGGAAAGAGACAGAAAGTAAAAAAGATGGAGATGAGAGGACAAACCAATCAGTTTTGGAATTACCAGTCAGCAGAAGTTTAGTGAAAAAAAAAAAAAATCACCGAATGAAATCGTACATTTACTCTGAGAGAGTATCCTTTCACATTGCCTTCTAGGTGATCTCTGAGCTCCTCCAGCTTTCGATGGAGCTACATGTAAACATCAGAAAATGAATTGAAAAAACAACTTGTTCTCTTTTCAGTTTTCCTTTTAAAAATAAGATCATAGCATTATACATTTCTCACTGCCTTTGGCAAACATTTCAAAACATCAAAGATCTTTGTATAACGTAAGAATGCATGCTCAACAAACCTGTGACCATCAAGCCAACATTTTATTTTGTTTAACTATAGTACTTTTTCTTCCCAAAGCATTAGAGAAAATAAATACTATAACTCTCCTTATAATCCCCTAGAGATTCACTTTGACATTATCTATTTGGTAGAAATATGGAGTAAAGATATTGAAAGATTATCACATTTGCCTTTCTTTCCCAGACATACTTTTTGATTTAAGACTGCATCCATAGTAACATAAACTGATTGAACTGTAAAGTGCACCTTTTGTTCTTCAACATATATGTGTATATACATAACCATACTATATATATACTTCACAACAATAAACATTTTTTAAATTGAAGTTCTGTACATCTAAAAGCTGAACTTAAAGATAACTGCACACACACACACTCACATACAATCCAGTTTACAGCAGATGGTGCTGCAGTTATGGATGCCATTTTCATCTTTATTTTACTACCAGTAATTTTCAAGAAGTCATGCTGCATTGTATCTTCTCACTTGAATCTGAGTCATAACACACAGTATAAACAATAATGGATTCATCTTCCCTTAAAGTCAAAAACTCACATTTTTCTGAGTGAATAATTTTAAGATGCCTAGTTTTTCAAATAGGCATACAATCAACACTTCCCATCCCCTACAATTATCCTTAGTGAAATAACATTTTAATTAAGTAGCTACCCCCTATAAAGCAGTATTAGAGAACAGAGAGGATGGCTTTTCTGGAATAAAGATCACAAACATACAAACACATCTTCATCCATGTGCACTCATGTGTGTGCACACACACAAATAAATAAATAAATAACAACAACAAAATAAAACTAAGAGGCAGAAGAGGCAAGGAGAAGAAAGAGTGCAGAAATTAGTGTTTCATAAATTGTTACATGGAAATAAACTGGAGGTGTTTAAATTTTGAAATTACTCAATGTTAGGCCTCAAGGTAGTTATTGAATTTTGGGACATCCCAATACACTGAATTATCTGGCATTTTGACTAATTTAATAGTGACTATTGCTATAAGGACAAATGGCATTGAGATATAAGGAAGTATCTAATTTTGTAGGGGTATTCTTCTGTATATTTGTAGAATTCAGCAAATTTTCTAACTTGCATTTAAGGTGGCAGCATTAAAAGTGATCAATGACTATATCTGTGTTTCCAAAGGGTGATAACTTGTTTAATTTTCATTGTGATTAAAAGTTAGAGTACTGAGTACTCAAGATATATTGAACACATGGATATTTAGCAACTAGCAAACAAGACCATCAAATCAGAAATCTTTAAACTGTATATTAATCATTTACACAATGGGTAAACATTTTAGATATATATCTATTTCTGTTGATTGTTGTATCAATTATTGTATATTTTTAAAAAATGAAACGAAGGGGATTAAGAGTACTTAAACACTATCAGCCTATTATATTAGCATGGTAGAAAATTCCTTTCTTTCTAATTCTTAAGAATAAATAAATTGAATACATGTTATTAACTCATAATAATTTTTTCCTGGAATGAACTACAAATGGTAATGACACTAAAATAACATTTAAATTTTTTTTTACAAAAAAGTTAAAAGGGGAGATAATATTCTGAAAATAAATATTAGTTCTCTGTGTAATAGGAACACACAGTCAGTGACATCAATCAGAGGAACGGTTTACTCTAGAACCCCAAATTATAGGCACCTGTAATGAGGCAGTTGCCCTTTCTCTTGTTTGTGGTGCCATTCAAAGCTAGTTATTTGGCAGCTTGCCTTCAGCTGGTTGCTCTATGTGTAGCTGAAACAAAAAAAATAATATGACCCAACAGCCAATAAAAATATTAAAATAAAAAAAATGGGATGGTGAAAAATGGAAAAAGCCCCCTTCCTCCCTCCACCCTCCAAAAAGGAAGAAGTGTAGGCTATAGACAAAATCTTGCCAAAAAATGTTAGAAACATATTTACTTTGAGGGATCCAACTCTACTAGCAACTCCTTTGCTTTCATCCGGCCGTCTAATTTGCTACAATGAGGGAAGATGGGTAAAAAAAGACAGAATAAAGAAAAAGTGAACTTAAAAATTTTTCTACACAATACTAAGTAATACATGCAAAAACATCAATTGACTCTTAGAGGTAACTCTTAAGAGGCCAAGGAGTTAACTAACCAGAGGCTGTATGACACGCTCTGCAAATAAGCTGGTTACTAGAATTCAGTCTTTGTTATGTCACTATTCCTGAGATGAGGAAATTGGCACTTACTTTTGGTTATCTTGGGAACTTCTGGTGAAGCAGTATCTGGAGTAGTGTTACATTTGCATTTGGCTTACAAAAAACAAAGAATTACAAATATACCTATGTACTTTTTTTTCTTTCAATGTTTTAGTGTCTATTCCACTGTAATATCAAAAACCATCAATAATATGACTAGAAAAATGAATGTTCTCTAAGTGGAAAGATCAGTCCTGACAAGCATCATTCTTGCTAGGTGACAGAGTGAAGCTCCTCTGCTTGCTGACCCAAGCGTTGAGGTTGTTCATCTGTCACTGAGATTCCCAGTTAAACAATTGTGCTGCCCAACTAGAAAATTTTAATGCCAGACCAATGTTAGATATATTCACTACCTCAAGGCTTTTTATCATTTCAGCTGAATTTTCCTCTTGTGTAAGATAGAGGAAATGAAAAGTAAAACTGCTATTCTGAAAAGTTGTTTCACATCATTATATTAATGAGCAAAGAAAAATTCTCAATACAAAGTGTTTTATTAGATGAAGTTTTTTTTTTTTTTAAATACAACTCTAATAGAACTAATGTTTTGTTTAAAGAGGAAGATGATCCAAAATCAAAAAGGGATATGGGAGGAGGAGCTTCAGACCAAGTGGGTTTACACTATGGATTTCTGCACTTGCAGAATGATAGTCTTAATTCAGGCTAGTGTAGGTCAAGTTACATGTGATTCTCCTTGTTGTATTAGGAGACAGCAGAAGGAGCAGTGTAACATAAAGCTCCCAGTGTTAAAGTTCTAAGGAAAAAATAAGAAACCTGAACATGCTACAGAATTTTATTTCCTAGAAGCAGGATATAGATTGTCTTACCCCTTTTAGGACATCTCTGATGGCATATGGAGATTTCTGAGGAATAACATGGAGAAAATTGAATTTTCATTTTGAAAAAAAGCATTTTGGCACATAAAAATTGCATCAACTTTTGACTTTACTTGATATAAATTGTTTTTACTAATTCTTCAGCATTAACTAAATATTATGGCCAAAGATAATCACCAATTATTGCTTTTAGTAGAACAGAATTGTCAAATTTAGAAACAATGGATACTAATTAGACCTTCAAAACGGTAAGAGAGGGCCTTCACATGGAGAAAGAGTTCATAATATCTGCTCATTCTCTTGTGCTATATTCTTTGATCTCAGAGAACATCTTTATATTAAAAGCTGTTTTCCATATTAAATAGAGACTCACAATATCTGGATTATAAAGATAGAATTGGTAGTTCCCTATAAAAATGAGTCTGATGCCTCTTGCTGATTTCTGCAAACTTTCAGAAACTGTAAAGATGTACAGAAGATGTTCAGTAACAAGTGAACATTTTCTACATTGTCTCTGATTTCTAGAATAAAATTGCATTAAGTCCAGCAACATGAGGTATCTTCTTTAAGGGTACACACGAAGTTAATGACAAATGTAGGAATAAAACCCAGAGTTCCCGATTTCTAGTTTAAAATTGTGGTTTCTTCATAGGCCTGGGAATAAACAGGCTAGAAAAAAATTGATGCTTATAAGAGGATGTATATGTATATGTAAATGTCTATTTATCTATCTATGGAAGAAATTTTATGTTATTATATATGGAGAAAATTTTTCCTCTACCATTCAGTTCCAAATGCAAGTGCAAGTACAGAAATTTAAAGAGTGACTTATAAGAAGAAAAAAGATACTCACTACTAAATCCTCAATGTAAAAAATAGAAGACTGATTCAAATAGAGACTTTTGGAGCAGACAGCTTATCCATGCTTGCTATCAATATCCTGTACACAAATCTGCCTTTGAAACTATAATAAAAGGAAAACTTTAGAAAACCAATGTGGTTTTCAAAGCCAGAAAAGATTGTAATTCAAGTTTCACATGATTATTTTTTGTGGTTCCTGAAACAGATAATAATTATTCCTAATGCTGAAAAATTTCAGAAGGAGTTTGAAAAAGATGTCTACATAAACTAAAATTTGAGAAATAGAAAAGTGAAAGCAATAGATTTTAAAATGTAATGTTCTAATTTATTTGTAACCCGTTAATCATTAATTACAATGGAGTAGTATAGATAAAAGAAATTCACAGCTAATCCAAATGTCTGATTATTTCTTTATAAGAATTTTATATAAATCACGAGAGATTAACATTTAGATGAGTTAATTTATTCTTCAATGAAAGTTATAAGAGACTTACATCATTAGCTACTTTTATACATACTTTTCTATGAGGTAGAATATTCTCTATCAGTAACTAAGGCAGGTTAGATTGTAAATGTTTATATTATACATAGGATCATGGCAATATAAATGAAGTTTGAGAACTGAATGTAAAGGATTGTGATTCAGCTGAGATTATTAATTTACTTATATATATTGAAAATTAAAATTTAGTAGCAAAAGTCTTCACTAATCATCTATCTTCTTTTTACAAGTATTTCACTGATATCATAGAAGATACTAACCATACGATCAAAAACATTTCAATCTCCTATTCAGTCTCTCAGTTAGAATATATTTTAAAAATATCCATTGGAAATGGTCTGAAACTATTACGCTGTATCACCTCTTTTGCAATATTCTGGGAATTTCTTTAGGCAGAGATTAATTACTGGGGAAACTATCCTCAGGGATTAATTACTAGGATGTGGCTGGCCTGTAAAGCAGTGAAATGACTCTGCATTGGTATTTACCTTTTTTTTTTTTTTTTTAAGATTTTGTATTCTAGAAATAGCATGCAACAAAAGAAATTGCTTGGATGCTAAAGTAATATGTGTTGTTGATTCCCTTTGAATTAGCCCAATTTTCCAAAACTGATCTCACTGTCTCTCTTGCCAATAAGAATCATAAATGTTACATTTTTATTAAAACAAACATATTTTGGAGCAGAAAGCCAACTTTATATGGTAGGCTTCCACATCATTGGATGTATGCATTCACACTTCTCTTTAGTTACAAGACGTTTGGTAAAATTTTTTTAGAAAAGGGTGTATATTTTGTGTGTTTGTTTTACTGTTAAGAGAACTAGACACATCAATAAAAATTTTACAAAAGCACAGCTGATATTAAATTCTGACTCTCAGCCTTTTTATTAAATTTAGACTCTTACCTACAGAATGACTAATGTACCTTTACTTTTCTTCCCATATTTTATATTGATTTAGATTAAGATTATACAGATTAAATAAATATTCCAGTTTGTTGGTCCTGAGGGCTAGACTATGTTAGTTTTAGAACTAATTTACTTTCAGAACTACTCTCAGATAGACATTTTTTAACCCTATTATATTATGCTATGGCTTTTTAAAAATTAGTAATTATGGTATCAATGACATGAAATAAAACATTTTCTTAGAAATAGTTTTCTTCTAACCAATATCACTCAGTATTGGTGCATCTCTAGATTGTTTCTGGTAACTATGATTTGGAAGAGATTTTTTAAAAAGTTTTGCTTAAGAGTTCAAAATTTAAACAAACTCCTACAAATAAAGAAATACTTTGTAGGATCTAGTTAATATTTGACTTCACTATACTATTCATATTATATTAATATTATTCAGCCCTTTCAATAAAACTGGTGCCTCACTATAAAACAATTCTGTTTCATTTGTGATATATTAAGACAAAGTATAAAAGGAAGGAAGGAAGAAAGGAAAGTAAGAGAAGTGATATTACACAAGTGTGTCAAGGAAGAATAATTACTAATGTGTTTCTGGAGGAACTGTAATATGATTATAAAAATAAACCAACAAAAAGATAAAAAAGATCAAGGAGAGTTGTGAACAGTACTGAAGAGATGAGAAATTAAAAATTAGAATCTTGGGAGGAAGTTACAGATCCTCCTATGCCCCCTCCATAGCTTTATCCTTGGGAAATCCACTTTTACAAGTTTTTAATCTCTCATGACCTATTAACATTTAAAATTATCTATTTTATTATTCATTTATAATTTTGATATTTAAATTCTATAATAGCTTTGACTACAAGGTAATACAATCTATATAATATTTGACTTCTAAATATTTCCTGCCCACTAGTCAGAGAATAATTCAGTCCATTTTCTTTTTTTCCTCCAAATTTCTTCTCTGTTTAAAAAGAAATTATGAAGCCCATCTTTTATGGAATAAGACCTTTTAGGTACATTAAAATATATAATTTTTAAATAGTATAACATATATTCTTTTTTATTTAGAAATATCATGGGGTATAAATAATTTTGGTTACATGAATCACTTTTATAATGCTTGAGTCATGGTTATAAGAGTACCCATCACCCAGATATTGTTCATTGTACCCATTAGGTATCCCCCCTGGTTGATTTCTGTTGAGTTTTACTTCCCTTTATGCACATGTGTGCTCATTACTCATTTCCAATTTAGTAGTGAGTACATGTGGTGTTTGTTTTTCCATTCTTTAGATACTTCATTTAGGATGATGGTCTCCAGTTCCAACCAAATTGCTGCAAAAGGCATTGATTCATCTTTTTAATGGCTGAGTAGTATTCCATGGTATACATATACCAACTCTTATTAATCCACTTATGAATTGATGGGCACTTGGGTTGATTCAACATTTTTCCAATTGTGAATTGTGTTGCAATAAACACTCAGGTGCAGGTGTCTTTTTAATAAAATGACTTCTTTTCCTTTGGGAAAATGCCCAGTAGTGGGATTGCTGGATCAAATGGTAGGTTGACTTTTAGTTCTTTGAGGGATCTCCATACTATTTTCCATAGAGGTTGTACTCATTTGTAGTCCCACAAACACTTACACAGTGTATAATTATTCCTTTCTCTCTGTATCCATACTGGCATCTATTATTTATGTACTTTTTAATAAAGGCCATTTTGATGGGAGTAAGGTGATATCTCATTGTGGTTTTAATTTGCATTTCCATGATGATTAGTGACATTGAACATTTTTTCATGTGTTTATTGGCCATTTGTCCATCTTCTTTTGAAAAGTGTCTGTTCATGTCTTTTGCCCACTTTTTAATGGGGTCATTTGATTTTTTCTTTCTGATTTGCCTGAGTTCTTTGTAGATTCTGGTTATTAGTGCTTTATCACAGCAGTCCCAACCTTTTTGGCACCAGGGAAAGATTTTATGAAAGACAGTTTTTCAATCAACTGGGGAGGTGGTTATAGTTTTAGGATGACTCAAGCTCATTACATTTACTGTGCAGTCAAACCTCTCTGCTAATCTGTATTTGCAGCTGCTGCCCAGCATTAGCATTCACCTCACTAGCACCACCTCCCTAATGCCACCTCACTAGCACCACCTCAGCTCCACCTCAGATCATCAGGCATTAGATTCTCATAAGGAGCACTCAACCTAGATCCCTTGGATGCACAGTTTATAGTAGGGTTCACACTCTATGACAATCTAATGCCGTAGCTGATCTGACAGGAAGTGGAGCATATGCAGTGATGTAAGCCATGGGAGTGGCTGTAAATACAGATGAAGCTTCTCTTGCTTGCCAGCCACTCACCTGTTGTGTGGCCTGGTTTCTAATAGGACATGGACTGGTACCTGTCCACAGCCTAGGGATTGGGGACCACAGCTTTATTGGATATATAGCTTGTAAATATTTTCTCCCATTCTGTAGGTTGCTCTGTTAATTATTTCCTTGGCTGCACAGAAACTTTTTAATTTAATCAAGTCACATTTATTTATTTTTGTTGTTGTTGTGATTGTCTTTGGGGTCTTCTTCATACATCATTTGCCTAGGCTGATATCTAGAACATTTTTTCCTAGATTTTTTTCTAGAATTCTTATGGTTTCATGCCTTACATTTAAGTCCTTTATCTATCTTGAATTATAATAATTTTTGTAAGTGGTGAGAGATATGGATCCTGTTTCATTCTTCTGC